AGAAGACTTTGACCCAGCAATAGCAGGCCAGCTTGTTTCACAGTAAACTTCCACTAAAAAGAATTAGAAAAACTGAACAGAATTTTCAAAAAAATTTTCTTTACAATATCAATGCCACATGTTGGCAAGGATTTGGAGCTCCTGGAAGGCATTCTGGAGTGACAATGTGAAGTGCTACAACCACTCAGGAAAACTTTGGCAATATTTATACTCTGTGACCCAGAAATTATTCTTCTACCACATACACTGTAGACATGTCTACACATGTACCAAAAACCACATGTATCAAAAAGCTCACAGTAGCATTATTTAAAATATTCTAAAATTACAAAAACCTAAATGTCCATCAATAGCAGAATGGGCAAATAAAACTTGATATCCTTATATAGAATTCATGAAGCATCCTCAGGGTAATGAGGGAATTAAAAACACAATTCATGAAGCAATGACAACGAACAAAGACATTGATGAACTCTGAAAACATAATAGAGTACAAAGCAAAAACAAAAGAAAAACTACCTATGAAATAATTAAATTTCCAGGGTGTTCAAAAGCAGGCAGAACTAATCTGGGGTTTTAAAAGCCAAAATGGTGGCTACACTTGGGAAGCAGCGTGGCAGGACTGAAGGGCGGGATGCCGGGCAGGCCGCTTGGCGCTGGCGCCAGCTCCCAGTTGGGTGTGACTACGAGGCCCTGCTGGTTCTGCAGTAGGTCGCACATCGGATACTTTTATTAGTGCACCTTTCTGGATGCATGTTGTCCTTCACTTTAAAAAGTTTACTGAAAAGAATACCAGGTAAGAAAATGTAATATATCTGATTCTCTCAATTACGCAGTGCCTGAGGCACATGATTTACAGACCTAACAGGCAAACTTTCTCTGAACACTTAAACTATACTTGTAAATCTAAACAATCAAATGCAAAATTATATAATACAAATTTCTTGTTTGGGGGGGGGGACAAAGTCTTGGTCTGTTGCCGTGGCTAGAGTGCCCTCGCGTCGGCCTAGCTCACAGCAACCTCAATCTCCTGGGCTCAAGCGATCCTGCTGCCTCAGCCTCCGAGTAGCCGGGACTACAGGCATGCGCCACCATGCCCGGCTAGTTTCTTCTCTCTATATATTTTGGTTGTCCAGCTAATTTCTTTCTATTTTTCAGTAGAGACGTGGTCTCACTCTTGCTCAGGCTGGTCTCAAACTCCTGACCTAGAGTGATCCTCTGACCTGGGCCTCCCAGAGTGCTAGGATTACAGGCTCTGGCCAGTCCAAATTTCTTAAAGTACTGACTCAACCAGTTTATTATGAATAGCATCTCTTTGGGCTATTATCAGCAAGAAACTTGTTATTTTTTGTTTCAATAACCACTTTTATTTATTTACTTTTGGTTAATTATTATGTCTATTTTTAAAATTTCAGAATATTATGGGGGTACAAACTTTTCGGTTACATAATTGCTTCTGTACTGTTTGAGTCAAATCGCCCCTCTTTACTGGGCAGATGGTCCTTTACGGTATCTTGGCGTCCACGGGAGTCCTATCACGGGGGGCTGGAGCTCCCATCTCACGGCGTGGGACCGGCCCTGCCCGTTTGGAGGCAGCATGCCGCGTATCCACTGCACACTCTTCCCGGCTCCCAACACGGCGGCGCCGCGCGGCTCCTCCGGCCCGCGGGCAGGAGGCTCTGGAGGGAGCTGCGCTTGCACGACGCGGCCCCTGTCAGGCGTGGAGGCGCCCAGGCGGGAGCGGGCAGGAGGCTCTGGCGGGAGCTGCGCTTGCGCGACGCGGCCCCTGTCAGGCGTGGAGGCGCCCAGGCGGGAGCGGGCAGGAGGCTCTGGCGGGAGCTGCGCTTGCGCGACGCAGCCCCTGTCAGGCGTGGAGGCGCCCAGGCGGGAGCGGGCAGGAGGCTCTGGCGGGAGCTGCGCTTGCGCGACGCGACCCCTGTCAGGCGTGGAGGCGCCCAGGCGGGAGCGGGCAGGAGGCTCTGGCGGGAGCAACGCTTGCGCGACGCGGCCCCTGTCAGGCGTGGAGGCGCCCAGGCGGGAGCGGGCAGGAGGCTCTGGCGGGAGCTGCGCTTGCGCGACGCGGCCCCTGTCAGGCGTGGAGGCGCCCCAGGCGGGAGCGGGCAGGAGGCTCTGGCGGGAGCTGCGCTTGCGCGACGCGGCCCCTGTCAGGCGTGGAGGCGCCCAGGCGGGAGCGGGCAGGAGGCTCTGGCGGGAGCGGTGATGCGGCCCGTCAGGGGTGGAGGCGCCCCAGCCCTGCGACGAGGCACCCAAAGGCGCCCGGCCGGCGCCTCACCGCTGGGGCCCGCCGAGGCAGGCACGCGCCCTCCAGCCCGAGAGGGGCGCCCGGCCCCTCCTTGGACAGCCCGTCGGTGTGGTCGGTCGGGCAGAGTCCCTGAGTCCCTGAGTTTCTCTTCGCTCTCTCCGAGGGTTCCGTAAACTGGGCCGGGGCGCTACCTCCGTCTCCTTCTCTGGCACGACCTCGGCCCTTCGGACCTCCTAACCCGCCCGCCCCGGCGCCCGACTGCAGCAGGCGGAGGCCGCAGCTGGCAGCAACCCCCTTCCTGTAAGGTGTATGGTGAGTGCCTCCGCGCCAGCCTCGGGGACACCAGCCGCCCTCCAGACTCCGTCCCCGCGCCCAGTCCCCGGGAGCGCGGCCGCCTCCGGATCTAGGGCCGCAGCGCCCAGCCCAACAAGGAGGCCTCCGCTTCTGCTTCTTAAAGCACCCCAGCATTGCCCAGTGATTTCCTCAGTGTTGTCACTGGGCCACAGGGAGCGAGCACCTCCTTTTCTCTCCCCCAAAATATGGGGAGGAAAAGAAACGGTCTCCAACTGTGAACATCACACATCCTCAGTAACCCAGTCCTCAGGCTCCATCTTATTTTGTCTACAAGTCAAGGATGAAGTTCTGAACGGGAAGCTGTCAGTAAACTCTCAGGGTGCAGGGGCTGATTCCATCCAACAGCTGTTTTGTAAAATACAGAGTTGTTTGTGACCTTAGCTATCACTTTAAGACAACATGACAAATCTCACTAGACATTATGTTAATAAATTGAATCAAATTCTTTTATAGCTTTCAAACCAGTCACAAATCTAAAATAAATTACATAGTTTAAATTTAAGTCATAATTCTAATTTGACAGATTCTCCAATAGGGTTGATAGTTTCAATAATTTAAGGAACAGTTACACAAGTAGTAGCCCAATGAGATCAAGCATACTCCTAAAGTTAACACAACAGATGCAAATGCCTTTAGTTGGAATAATTTAATCAGTTCTATATTCCTACTCCTGAGAGCTGTCAACTAAAAGAAGACTTGCAATCTTATGTGGGCTCAGGGTTGTACTTCACAAGGGTGATAATGTTATTTGTAGAGAGAAATTTCGTGAGAGATTTCAAAATTCATAAAGCAAAAATGGATAGAAATGCAAGTGAAATAGGAATATCCCAATTAGTATCAGTAATTTTTGTTCCCCTCTCTCAATAGTCAATAATTGATAGAACAAAGAGAGAATTAATAAAGATAGAGAAAACTTAAACTACACTATCATACTTTTGACCTGAGATGTATAGAACACTCCAACCAACACCAGCACAGTACAGATCATTCTAGAAGCACATGGCAACAACACATTTACCATTATAACCATATTCTGTGTCATAAAAACAATTTCAATCATCTTGAAAATATTCAAGCTTTACAAATATATTTTCTGACTACAAGGGAATTAGAAATCCATTGCAAAAATATCCCTGGAAAAGCCTTATATATTTGAAAATAAATTAGCATATTTCTAAATAACCCATGGGGCCAAGAAAAAATCAAAACAGAAATTAAAATGTATATGAAACTGAATGGAAATGAAATCACAACATATTCAAATTTGTGGAATGCCACTAAAATACTTCTTAGAGGAAAATTTAGAACAGTAAGTGCTTGGATGAGAAAGGAATAAAACTCTCAAATTATTGACTTCAGATTCCACCTTAAAAACGTAGAAAAGACAAAACAAAACTCACAGTAAGTATAGGAAAACAAATAATAGAGATCAGAGAGGAAATCTGTAAATAGAATACACAAAAGCAATCCAGGAGATCAATGAAGCCAAAAGATAGTTCCTGGCAAATATCAATAAAATTGATAAAACTGTAGCCAGTTTGATTAGGAAATAGAGAAAAATGACAGAAATTACCAATATCAGGAATGAAAGAGATGACATCACTACAGATGTTGTAGGTATTAAAAGGATGATATAGGGATATGATGAACAAATTTATGCCAATAAATTAAACATCTTAGAATAAATGGACAGATTTCCTTGAAAGACACAAAGCCCACTTAAAAAATAATAATAATAATTTGAAGAACCCTATGTCTATTTTAAAGATTTAATTTGTAGTTGAATCTTTTTCCTAAAGAAGAAAATGCAGGCCCCGATGGCTATACTGGTAAGTTCTAACAAATAATAAATACAACTATTCTATACAAAATTGTCCAACTCATTATATAAGGCCAATATAACCCTGATACCAAAACCACACAAAGAAAGTTACAGATAAACAATCCTCATGAGCATAAATTTAAAAATTCTAAATAAAATCTTAGCAGATTGATTCCAAAAGTACATAAAAATATAACACATTATGACCAAATGGAATTTAGCCTAGTAAAGAAAATCTAGTTTAAAAATTTTAAATGAATGAATACAATTCACTATATTAAACTGTATTATTTTAAGATATGCAGAAAATGATTTAGAAAAATCATTAAATAAAATCCAATATTCATTTATATTAAAAACTTTCAGCAAACTAAGAATAAAACACAACTTTCTCAACCAAGTAACTGCCAAATACAAATATTACCATTAACAACATATTTAATGGTGAAAGATTAAATAAATACTTTATCCTCAAGAATATGCTGAGACAGACATGTCCATACTCATAATCGCTATTCAACATTGTACTTGAGGTTCTATACAGTGCTGTAAGATAAGGAAAATGAGTAAATACACTCATATTAGAAAGAAAAAAATAAAATTATTTTTATTCACAGGCAACATGGTAGTCTATGTAAAAGAAAAGTTGATGAAATATACAAATATACAAAAGCCATAAGTGATTTATGTGTTAAATTTATGTGTTAAGTGTTAAATCACGTATTGCTGTTGTGACACTTGTGATATAACACTTGTGATATAACACAAGCTTCAGAATACAATACACAAAAATTAATTGTTTGGAAATGCAAAAAGCCTAGAACAGCCAAAACAACCTGAAAAAAGAATAAAGACAGAAAAATAACACTACCCAATTTAAATAATTATTATAAAACTGCAGTAATGAAGAGACAGTGTGATACTGACCTCATGCTAGACAGATCAATGGCATTTAGAGCACAGGAACCGATCCACACATATATGGTCATTTCATTTTTGACAAAGGCAACTGCAAAGACAATTGGGTGCAAAATGAATACCCTTTTGAGAAAACTATGTTGGAATCATTTTATATCCATATACAAGAAAGCAAAATAGACCTTGTTCCATAGAAAAATGAACTCAAAATGGATAATAGACCACAATTGTAAACCTAAAACTATAAAATATTTTAGAATAAAAAATAGGAGGAAAATCTTTATGATTGTGGCTTAGACAAAGATTTCTTAGATATGACATCAAAAACAAGATCCATAAAAAATTTTGATAAATTAGATTTCATTGAAATTAAAAATGTCTGCTTTTCAAATACACTGTTAAAGATACTGTTATGAGAGTGAAAAGACAAGGCTTGGACTGACAGAATACACTTTCAAAACATATATAGGGGCTGGGTGCAGTGGCTCACACCTGTAATCCTAGCACTCTGGGAGGCTGAGATGGGAGGACTGCTTGAGCTCAGGAGTTCAAGACCAGTTCTGAGCAAGAGTGAGACCCCTCCTCTATTAAAAATAGAAATAAATTAGCCAAACATCTAAAAGTAGAAAAAAAATTAGCTGGGCATGGTGGTGCATGCCTGTAGTCCCAACTACCCAGGAGGCTGAGGCAGGAGGATCACTTGAGCCCAGGAGTTTGAGGTTGCTGTGAGCTAGGCTGATGCCATAGCACTCTAGCCCAGGCAAGAGAGTGAGACTCTGTCTAAAAAAAAATATATATATATATATATATATACATATATATATATATATTTATATATATATATATAATGAAGTGTATTTAGAATATGTAAAGAATACTCAAAACCAATACTAAAAAACAAGTAATTTAATTTTCATTTTAATGCACAGAAGATTTAAACACTTCACCAGGGAAGATGCATATTTGGCAAGCAAGCACATAAAACATCATTAGTCACAAGGAAATACAAATTGAAACCACGATGAAATACCACTGCACATATTATACAATGATTCAAATTAAAAACATTGACCACATCAAGTATTGGAAAAAAGATACAGGCACTGTAATTTTCATATGCTGCTAGTGGAAACCTGAAATCATACAACTACTTTCAAAAACTTTCTGTTGATTTCTTAAAAAGTTACACTTTTGGCTTTTTAAAATCTAGATTCCATGTAAGTGAAATGATGCAGTATTTTTCTTTCTATGTCAAAAAAATTTCAAATGTACAGAGAAAGAGAATAGAGCAGTAGTTACCAGGGGTGGAAGTGGGAGGTGTAGGCCGGAGGACACGAAGCAGCCTGTATGTAGGAGGAACACGTCTAGAGCTCTAACGTGCAGCATGCAGGCTGCAGGTGGGGACGTTGTGCTGGATGTGGGGTGCATGCTAAATGAGTAGATTTAGCTACTCCTCCCTCAAAGAAAAAGAAACAAAAAAAAAATGGGTATCTACATCAATTTGCCTCACTGTAGTAAGGTTTTTACTATCTATAAGTATCCCATAATATCATGTTGTATGCCTTAAATATACACATGAAATTTATTTTTTTAAATGTTGAATGTAGATTGATTATCAAAAATAGCGGATTAGGGACGACCTCCTGGCTCTCTGCTCTTGGAGTGGGAGGTGAAGAAGGCGGCCTGAATCACTCGAGTGGGTAGTTCTCCCACAGGATCGGCTTCAGGGAATTGCCAGGAAGCTTCAAGGGGCAGCAGTGCTGGGAAAAGGAGGAAAGTGACTCTGAAGACTTGCTGTGAAGGTCTGAGAATCTGAGTGGCACAGTGGGGATTGAGTGCAAGCTGGCTGTGCTCAGCGGCAGCCAAACGGCTGTGTGATCCATCCCACAGGGGACGACTTCTCCTTCACCGACCTCCACACCCAGGCAAGCAGGGAAGACAGCCTGAAGAGGTAACAGGGATGGTCAGGCAGTTTGGAGAGGAGGCAGGAGTGGAAAGTAATTTGAAATCTCCAGGGAACAAAGCAGCAAAGTCGCCTTTGCTGGGAGAGCTATAAACACCAGTGGCTTATCACTTGCTTGTGAAGGGACAGAAAAGTGAGACAGATTGCTCCTTTGACTGAGTTGTCCGGTGGACTCGGGTGGCCCAAGTGCTGCTGGGGAGGGAGCAGAAGAGCGAGGGAGCGCGACCTTACTTGGGCCCTCCCCAGGGGTCTCCAGTGGCCCAAGCCCCACTGCTGGGCCACACAGAAAGTTTTCACCCCTTGGCGGAACTTGTCCATGGCCCCCAGTCGCTTGAGCTCTGCCGGTGAAGGGGCGGAAGAGGGGGTGAGAGTCATCCTCTGCGGATCCCCTCCAGGGGTCTGCAGCGGCCCAAGCTCTGCTGGTGACGCAGGGAAAGGGGATAGTTTTCACCCCTCAGCGGAGCCTCTCAGTGGTCCCCAGCAGCAAAAAAGCCGCCAGTGAGAGGGCGGAAGAGGCAGATCCCAGTGTCTCAAGTCCCACTAGGGAGGGGAGGGAAGAGGGAGAGAGATTGCTCCCCAGGTAGTGTCCCCTGGTGAGGTCAGGCAGTTCCCCATCCCACCCAACCGCCTCTCCCTTGCTCCTAAGGAATAGAACCCGCCCTAACAGGGTGGAAATAGGAAAGAGAGTGATTTTCCAACTCTGACATGGGACAACTGTTCCCTAGCACATTCTGGGGTTTTGAGATAGGTGCTTCTCTCCAAAACTACAGACTCCACTCCTGGGCGGAGTAGTGAAACAAGCCATTATTCAAGCTGAAACCAGAGGCTGGACTGCTATCTCCTATTGCTTAGTATCTACTGCTGGCCTGTTTTTCACCAAAGACCCAGACCCCTCCCCTGAAAGGGTTTAGTAACAGCCTCTCTAGACTGACACCCAAGCTGAGACATGAGCCCATATCCTGGAGGCAACCTGGAAGACAGAGTCTTCAGCCAAAGGATCAGCACCCAGCCCTGGAAACACGCAGTAGCGAGGGAGTCTGCTCTTAGGGCTGAGGCCTGCCTGGGTTGCAGAAGGTCCTTGTCTGCGACCAGGCCACTGGTATTCCATAGGGAAGGGCCTGACCACGCATATGCAGGAGCAGAGTTGCCAGGCAGGTCGTTCTCTGTTCTGGGTCCCTCAGTGCTGCTGGGCAAGGCATTTTCAACAGCCCTGAGCCTTTTACTTCACAACATCCAGATAAACCCCATCCTTGGAGGGGTGGAGTAAAAAGAGTTGATGCCCTACTATAGCGAGTTGGCTTGGATAATCTGTTAAAAGCAAAATACAAGGGCTTGTCCTTGGTTTCCAGGCAGTTGCCAAATTATAGACTTGTGTTCTGAGAAAGAAAATCTCAACGAGAATCCCTAACAATTGCACCAAAAGACACTTTCTACCAGGAGCTACCACATGTATGCAGTGAATGATCTCTGAATAACTTTTTAGCAGCTCCCCTCTAGCCACAGATCAAGCAACCTCTGAAGTATAATCTCTTAAGCTTGCCGATACCTATTGCTTATCTCTCCCCAGCTAAATAGGTAACAGGGCCCAAGGATCCCCTCGGAGAGGTACAGCACTCACCAAAGGCTGAGAGTCCTGTTTACCACATTTAAGGGTTTAGAGTTCATTACATAGGTATTGGAAAACTTGATAACTGACCTCCCCTCACAAACCACAAGCAACAAAAAGAGAGAATAACCTCATAGCTCATCAGAGTGCCCCTCTCTTCATACGAGCAGTTGATAGGGGAATCACACTCACAAGAGGAATATAATTCCAGGGAGTCTAAGCAAGGGTTCCAATCTCACTAATCTCTATTAAAAGATGGTGAAGACAACAGGTCAAAGAGAACCCAACAGGCTCAGACTCCTCTAAGACAGTACAGATTCACAGCACATATCCCCAGATCCGCCGAGGATTGTGCCTCCAGAATTCCAGATTTTAGCTCATAATCTAGTCTCTGCACCTCCGATCCTCAATAAAGCACGCAGATGAGAAAGAACCAGTGAAAGTTTACAGGAAACATGAAGGAACAGAAAGAAAAGTCACCTCCAAAGCAAAATACTCATTCTCCATCATCTGACACCAACTTACATGATATGAGTAAACTGACAGAGGAAGATTTCCGAATATGGATTGCTACAAAACTAAATGGAATTGAAGAGAAAATAGAATCACAACATAGGGAAACCACAAGAACCATACAGGAAATGAATGAAAGATTCTCCAAAGAAATTGAGACTATCAAGAAAAACCAAACAGAAATTCTGGCAATGGAGGAAACAAGCAAGGATCTTCATAATTCAGTGGAAAGCCTAAAGAACAGGATGGACCATGCAGAGGAAAGAATCTCAGAACTTGAAGACTATGCCTATGCTCTAAACCAATCAGAAGAAAGGGAACACAGAAACAAGAGACAAGACCAAAGTTTACAGGAAGTGTGGGATTATGTTAAAAAGCTAAATCTCAGATTGATTGGGGTGCCAGAAGGGGGAAGAGGAACATTCACAAGAGCTAGAAAACTTATTTCACGGAATACTGGAGGAAAATATGCCAGGCCTGGCTAGAAATATTGATATCCAAATACAAGAAGCACACAGAATTCCTGGAAGACTCAACATGAAAAGGCAATCACCTCACCACATGGTTTTTAGGCTGACCAAAGTAAATGTGAAAGAAACAATTCTCCATGAAGCAAGATGAAAGCAGCAAATGACCTATAAAGGTAAGCCTATCAGACTATCCCAGGAGGGATTGGCTTGTAAGGTTTCAGATGAGAAGTCTTCTGTTAGTCTGATAGGCTTACCTTTATAGGTCATTTGCTATATGACCAAAAAGGTCTGACAGATCTCTATAGAGCATTCCATCCAAATAAACTTTAATTTACATTCTTCTCAGCAGCCCATGGATCCTACTCCAAAATTGATCACATCCTGGGCTGCAAATCAGATCTCAAAAAATTCAAGAAAATAGAAATTATACCTTGTATCTTTTCTGACCATAATAGTATAAAATTACAGTTCAATTCCTATAGAAACACTCAACCCCTCACAAAATCATGGAAACTAAACAATCTATTATTGAAAAATTATTGAGTAAAGGAAGAAATTCAGAGAGAAATCAAGAATTTCTTCGAACAAAATGATAATGGTGATACTTCTTACCAAAACCTGTGGGATACAGCAAAACCTGTGGATACCTGAGAGGAAAACTAATAGCAATTAACACTCACATCCAAAAAACAGAAAGCTTAGATACTGATAACCTAATGAATAAGTTTAAGGAATTGGAAAAAGAAGAGCAAACAATTTCCAATCATAATAGAAGAAAAGAAATAATGAAGATCAAAGCAGAACTGAATGAAATGGAGAACAAGAGAACTATACTAAAGATCAACAAAACCAGAAGCTGGTTTTTCAAAAAGATAAACAAAATCGATGGCCCTCTTGCTAGATTGACAAAGACCCAAAGGGAAAGGACTTTAATAAACTCAATAAGAAATGAAAAAGGAGAGATCACAACAGACACCACAGAAATACAAAACATTATATTGGACTACAATAAAAAACTATATGCCCAAAAACTACAGAACGAAGATGAAGTGGACAAATTCTTGGATTCATACAATCTCCCTAAGTTCACCCAGAAGATAACAGAATTCCTGAAAAGACCAATCTCAAGCTGAGATATTTGAACAGTAATTAAAAACCTGCCCAAATGGAAAAGTCCTAGGCCAGATGGCTACACTTCAGAGTTCTACCAAACATATAAAGATGAACTCATACCTATACTAAAGAAACTATTCCACACCATTGAGAAGGATGGTATCCTTCCTAACTCATTCTACGAAGCCAATAACACCTTGATACCAAAGCCAGGAAAGGATGCAACAAAAAAAGAAAATTACAGACCAATATCCCTCATCAATACAGATGAAAAAGTCCTAAATAAAATTTTAGCAAATAGAATTCAGCAGCACATCAAAAAAATAATTCACCATGACCAGGTGGGCTTTATTCCAGAGATGCAAGGATGATTCAACATACGCAAGTGTATAAATGCAATTCACTTCATAAATAAAATCAAGAACAAAGACCATATGATTCTCTCAATAGATGTAGAAAAAGCATTTGACAAAGTCCAACACAACTTTATGATAAAAACTCTTAACAAAGTAGGCACAGATGGCTCATACCTTAAATTGATCAAATCCATCTATGACAAACCCACTGCTAATATCATTCTAAATGGGGAAAAATTGAAATCTTTCTCTTTTCAATCCAGAACTAGACAAGGATGCCCACTATTTCCTCTCCTATTCAACATAGTGCTTGAAGTCCTAGCAATAACAATCAGGCAGGAGAGGGGTATTAAGGGCATTCAAGTGGGGGCAGATGAAATCAAACTCTCACTCTTCACCGATGATATGATACTATACCTAGAAAACCTCATGGACTCTTCTAAGAGACTCCTAGATTTGATAACTGAATTTGGTAAATTTTTAGGTTATAAAATCAATATACACAAGTCAGAACCATTCATATATGCCAAGAACCATCAAGGAGAAACTCAAATCAAAAATGCAATACCCTTTATTATAGCCCCAAAGAAAATTAAATATCTAGAAGTATACTTAACAAAAGATACAAAAGATTTATACAAGGAGAACTACTAAACACTAAAAAAAGAAACTGCAGAAGATTTAAACATATGGAAAAATCTACCTTGTTAATGGATTGGTAGAATCAATATAGTTAAAATATCAATATTACCTAAAGTGATCTACAGAATCAATGCAATCCCCATCAAAATACCATAAGCATTCTTTACAGATCTAGAAAAAATAATTCTTCACTTTATATGGAACCAGAAAAAACCTTGTATAGCCAAAGCAATCTTAAATAAAAAGAACAAACTAGGAGGCATCAATCTTCTTGACTTCAAGCTGTACTATAAAGCAATAATAGTTAAATCAGCCTGGTACTGGCACAAGAACAGAAGCATGGATATCTGGAATACAGCTGAGATACCAGAGATGAAACCATGTGCATATAGTAATCTAATCTTTGATAAAGCTGAAAAAATATACACTGGGGAAAAGAATCTCTCTTCAATAAATGGTGCTGGGAAAACTGGTTAGCTACATGCAGAAGAGTGAATCAGGATCCCTACCTCTCACCTCTCACAAAAATTCACTCAAGATGGATAACAGACTTAAACTT